CGGGGGGGCTGTCACCTTTCCGGGGGGTGTGGCACTGAGGGGGGCTGTCACCTTTCCGGGGGGGGTGGTGATGTGTTCCAGGGGTGTCCCCACAGGCAGTGCCCCCTCTCCCCACAGCTCGGTCCCTGGCTGGCCGTGGAGATCCCGGACCTGATCTCCAAAGGCCTCATCCAGCACAAGGACAAGTGACCAACACAAGTGGGGGGGACATAGGGGGTCCCCCCACCCCCCTTGGGGGTCCCATCCCCCCTCGGGGCTCCTCTGTTCCCCTCCCAGCTGCTGCCACCCCTCCCCACCGCTTCGCTGCTGCTCCCCAATAAACACTGAACCCCGGTTGAGTGGCGGTTTGTTATTTTGGGGGTGGCACGGGGGGATTTGTCCCCAACACCCCCCGGTGTGTGTCCCCCACCCAAACCCGCGCGGGTCGCGGCTCCTTTAAGACGCCGCGCGGTTTCCACGGCGATGCGGGGCGTGGCCGGGAGGGCGGCGCATGCGCAGAGGCGCCGGCGATGCCGCCGGGGGCGGGGCCGGCTGAGGGAGGCACAAAGATGGCGGCGGGTGCGGCGGGAGTTGTTGCCATGGCGGCCCGCGGGAGGTGCGGGGGGACCGCGGGGCGACCCCGCCGAGGGGTTGAGCCCGGGGGGTGCGGGATCCGCTTTTGGGGGACCCCGGGATTGAAGGGGGCTGAGCCCGGGGGTCGCGGGCTTGGGGGGAGGAGGTCGGGGGCTTTTCCAGCGGCGCTTTCCGGCCAAGGCCTCGGGTCTCCGGCCGCGACCCCCGCCCCAAGCCGGGGCCAGCGGGGGTTTGTGCTCCGCTCCTCCGGGACCACCCATCACCTCCCGGGGCACCGGCAGCTCTGCCCGGGGAGCAGGACCTGGCCTGGGCGGGGGACAGACACGCTCCCGGTGCTCCGAGCCCCCCGGGACTCACCTGGCACGGAGCTGGGGGTCCCCTCGAGCCTTTGGGGTCCCCCGAGCCTTTGGGGTGACGCCGCCGTGTCCCCGCAGGGCCCCCGCCGACGGGACGCTGTGTCCGGCCGCCGGGCGCAGGGGGCTGTGAGCAGGTGGGTGCCGCTTCCCCGTCCCCTTCTGCCACTCCCGCTGGCGCTGCCACCTTGTCACCAGGCTGTCGCTGTCCCCCGCAGGCCCCGCCATGCCCCAGGCCTCGGAGCACCGCCTGGGCCGCGCCAGGGACCCCGGCGCCGTGGTGACCGCGCAGCCCCGGGCGGGCTCCCGCCTGCCCAGCGGGCACCGAGCGCTGAGCCAGGAGCGCCATGCGGCCCCCAACGGGCTGTCCCCGGCCCCCAAACTGCGCCTGCTGCCCCCCCGGCCCCCGCCGCCCCCCGACG